CACCCAACATGTTTTCACTGTAGTTCATGTGATTGAAGACTGCTTGAACCTCCAATACACTCCTTACCCTACTAAAATTCGGAAAATGTGGTATAAGGCTGGGAAGAGTTGGAAAGGGGAAAAAAGTGACTGTACAGAGATTGGGGAGTCGTATTTTCAGAAAATTTTCCCAGCAGCACGACGTGCCCTGGAAAGCATTAACCATCTATGTTGAAGAGGTTACAGTGAGAACAAGCTTTCACCCACTCTGAACAGGAATTTGGACGTTTTGAATGGTTCGTATCCGCATGAAACAGCGGAGCGGTCGGGGGTGGGGTGGAAAGAAATAAGTAGCCCAAGGCGCGCACCTCGTTACCAACCCATGAGACGCATACTTTGCTGGTACCCTCCATGTACAGAAGGTCTCATTTTCCCTCCTTGCGAAAAGAGCTCTTGGGCGCTGACGAGTTTTCATATCAGAAATTTCAGCTTTAAGAACCATAAATGATAGACCTGGGTTACTCGTGCTCGAGCGGGCGTCAATAACGTCTCCATGCGTCCCTGCGCTAGAGTTGCCCAATGCATTCACTGTGCATAAGGGGCAGGACGAACATTATGCCATTCATTCAGTGCCTTCATCCATTGAGAATATGAAAACGACATTAACGGAATTTTAACTTGTGGCGCTAAAAAAGCTAACAGATTAAATCATCACTTTCAGGACGCTCTCAAAGCTCCAGCCGCTCCACCAACACCTCAGCCACCTCAGCCAGGCGCACAACCAAATGGTACTTTTTAGTTTCTTTCCCTTGTTCTTTTTGGTTTAAACTTTGAAAAGGTGCTTGTATGAGGGTGCTGTTTATTCTTCCGAGGAAGCGACAAGTGTAGGGATATCGTCAGTTAGTAAAAGAATAGATTACCAGTAAATAGGAATTTCTAACAAGGACCTTTTAGAATCAACGACAGGATTCACCTCCTACCATCAGGGCTGATTTTTTATTCAAAACCACCTAAATAGGTCGACGAATTTTTCCATGGCTCCTAACATTGGGCAGATAACACAAAGTGATGGGGAGGTCGTTTGGATTCAGCTTTCAGAAATTTTTAAATTTTTTGTGATACTTGTATGTGTGGCACATCGGCATAGGAGATCATTCTTGTTCATTTTCATGCCAAGTGAAGGCGAACTGTCCAAGTACATGATCCGCCACCCCCATCCGTAAGATTACCCGGAAGAGCGCGAGGGGGAGGGGGCATTTTGCACGTTTGCTACTTCCCATCGATGTGCTGAGTTATCAAGACAGCTATTTCATGAACACGCAAGGGTTGAATTTTACAAAAAAAAAAAAAAAAAAAAAAAAAAAAAAAAAAAAAACCAAAAAAAAAAAAAAAAAAAATGGTAGGCCTCGACCACACTTGTCCAGCCCGCGAAGTAGTGGAGAGCAACACCAAAAGCTCGAAATGCACCCCGCTTGCCGAAGATGCTTCCTGAAAGTAGGTGAGGAACACTTCACAGCCCATCAGTGGAAAGTGGTCGTTTTGGGATTACGCATTCACACACCTCCTCTGCGCGATCCACCCCCGACTGGAATATCTCATAGACCAAAAGGTGTAGGGCACACGGACTCCCAGTTTTCAAGACCGCTCTCTGCTGACTCATGGCAACATCCCCTCCCCAGCCTAACTCTTACCCTACTCGACCTAGATGTTCACAGCAATGATGTCACTAGTCGAAGCTCCGAAGAAAAAGAAAGAAAAAAAAGAAAAAAAAAAAAAAAAAAATTTCTATCAACTCCAGCTCGCTGCTGTAGTCAGCGCATAAAGTCGCCTGAATCCTGGAGACTGCATACAGTCGTGTTCATGTGGTCTGTCCCACAGGGGGGGGGACGAAGGGCAACGTCGACGCTCGTTTTGGCGGCGCGAGCACATTTAAACCTATTGTTGTCGCTTGTCTGCTTGAAGAATTTGTGGAGAACGGGATGATGGCATGCCAAACCCAGCCCTCTTGACACGCCCCAACATCCGTAGCGAACAGGACTGTACATAGTTCGTGGGTTAAGCCATCGCCGATTCCAAATTATTGCTTTTTTCAGCACCCCCGATTCAACAGCCTCAACCTATCTACACTCAAGGAGGTGTTGCCTATACCATTCAACCACAAACAATTGTTGTTTCGCCGAATGTCATCATTGTGAAAGATGCTCATACGTTTCATCCGTACCCAGAATTTTGTCCAAAATGCCAGGTTCGTTATCTCCGAATAGTTTACGTCTTTAATGATCGGTGCTGACGCACGCAATTTTTTGCTTACTTTCATTCTTTATTCTCGAAAAATGTGATCAAGAAGAGGTGAAGTGGTGTAGTGGCAAGTGGCACGCTTACCACGCGCATGGTCCAGGGACCAAATCCCGGATCGGCTCCGCCCAGGCCAACCAAGCCTTCTTTCCTCCGGGGACGGTAAATTGGTACCAGATTCGTCTGGGAGGATAAAACACTGACTTACATCGGCTGGCCCCCGCAAGTCATTGTATAGGCCACATCGCATTCAATAAGCCACTACGATTCTGAATGGAAGTAGAATGCGTGCCGCATCCCAAAAAGGAGTTTAACGGTGAAGACTTTACGCTTTTATCAAGAAATCGAATGCTCACTACGCTTTCATAGACACATTCCACGGTGGTCGGATGGGCGGAGACTAATGACCGTTTGTACTTCACAGTTATGTCAATTCTCTTCAGCGATCTAATGAAGAGAGCGCAATGATTATGACCCTCCGCCCATTGAAGCCGTTCACGTCGTTATCGCGGAATGTGTCTTGACCTCGAAAATAAAGTTTTTGCCGGAATATCTTTGTTCCAATGCATTTTTTTCCAGCGAATTGTCGTAACGCGGCGTGTGTGGGTCTCAGGATCGTGTGCATGGACTGTTTTATTATTATCTATATGTATTCCTTTCCTTTGGCCAATGTTATTCTTTCTTTGTACACCAGCATTCAAAGATGCACATCATCATTGTCCTTGTTGCCTTACTTTACTTTCAATTAGACGGAGATGAATGATTAAAAAAACTGTATGTAAACAACTGCTTGCTTTTTGCTGATTTTATTTGTCATATTTGATTGACGTGCCATTGACAATTGATTTTCCTTTATCAGTTAATTGTGCTGTATAAAACTTCTCGGCGGGTCTGTTATCTCTCACGCACGAACAATCACAGAAACTTCCAAGTTGTTAAGGACTGCATCTTCAACATCTTATGACCTGCGTGCCATGCAGTATCGAGGTCTTAGCAGAACAGTCCGATGGCGGAAATGGTGACGGAGAGGGGGCAGGGGCTGACGGAGATGACGCAACGGTTGAATTTAGTTTACTTTCTCTACGGTGGGTGACGTTGAATTCTCAATGGAGAGAGCCTTATGAACTCTCATCGGAGAGGGCCTTACTCGCCCCTCAGAATTCAGCGAAAGGAGCGTTCTACCTTGTCGTAGAAGGAGCGGGAACTACCATTCCACCTTTCCGCTAGTTAGGTCCTCTCCTAAATGGTGAAAATTTTATGCTTCCGTAACAGTGCTGGC